GTCTCGTGATGCCAGCCTGCTGGGCACCGTCTCCAAGGCAACAGCGGCCGTCTCTGCCTCTCTCTCTCTGAAGGGAAGCCTAGGAGAATCTCTTGTGGTCCTTCGGAGAGCCCGTGTGGGGGAGATGGTCTGTGAATGAGGAGTCTGCCTGCTTTGTTCTCTCCTCACTGAGGATAAGTCTCATTCACATTAAGTTCTCTCCCACTCTCTGAAAATTCACATTAATTTCTCTCCTACTCTCTGAAGCCAGCGTTTGGATTGAATTGTTGGCGATGGGCCGTTAAAAGCATATTCAAAATGCACCCAGCCACTAGTCTGAAATGCCCTGCCTCATTGTCGGCATTAAAAAGCAAAGCCAGGCGGTGGTGGCGCCCGCCTTTAATCCCAGCATTTGGGAGGCAGAGGCAAACTCTGTGAGTTTGAAGCCAGCCTGGTCTACAACAGCCAGGGCTATTACACAGAGAAAAGCTGTCTCAAAGAAAAAAAAAAAAGCAAAACCCAAATGAGATTATCATGAGCCAAGACACAGGACATAAAGGGTGCAAGTCCTGGTCCCCGAGCACAAGGGGCCTCTCTGCCATGCCCTTCCTGCCCGCAGGACTGTAAAGTTCTGTCCCAACCAGGACATACTACACAAGGGAAGAGGAAACTTCATAATTAAGCGACATGACAGACATGTCCCTGCCATCCACGTGCTCGCCTCACAGTGGGAGCCTTTGAACAAATGCTTTCCCAGCCGGAAGATGTCTGAGCAGCTCAAGTGATGAAAGGCTGTGCTCTGGGCTGCGGGGTGAGATCTAGTCAGAGGCCTGGAACAGAGAGGGCGCTGCAGCAGCTATGATGATCAAAGGGAGCCAAGGGAAAAAGGTCTGCGGTGCAGACTCCAAGGAAGGAGGGCGGGCTGGGCTGGCTGCTTGGCGGAATTGAGATTCTGTCTAGTAGAAAAATTTTGCTTTGTGCCTGGGCAGGGTCATATGAAGCGATCCCACCACAATAAACAAGACAGCAAATTTGTTGTTGGTGACAAACTGTTTCCCAAGCATTTGCTGAGGGTGGACACCTGTCAGCCTGGGAAATGCGTATAGTTTCAGATAACGATGCTAAGAGAAACTGGAAAGGCTGTGTGTATTAGTCAGGGTTCTCTAGAGGAACAGAACTCATATGTATGCATGTATGTATATATATTTATTAAAATGGCTTGTAGGCTGTGGTCCAGCTAGTCCCACAGTGGCTGTCTACCAATGGAAAGTCCAAGAACCATGTAGTTGTTCAGTCCACGAGGTTGGATGTCTCATCTGGTCTTCAGTTTGTGCAGGAATCCTGAAGAAGTTTCTAATGCCAGTGGAGGACTGGACTTAGCAGCGAGAGGGAGCGCAGAGGGCAAGCATCCTTCTTCCATGTCTTTACATAGGACCCCCCCGCCACAAATTGTTTATTTGAGGAAAAGGTCCCTTACAGGCATACCTCGCCACGTGGCTTTTAGTGAGTCCCAGATGTAGTTGACAGTCAAGACATCACACTATCAAGTACGCCCATCTCAGATGCAGACGTGTGCTCTCTCTGTGGCCATAGGCTTCCTGACCAAATGATCTCACAACTCTCATCAGTCACCCAAGAAATGCACTTTGTAGTGTCCAAATCCGAGTTTCCTGTCACGCATGGAGTCCTTGGGTCAAGGGCCAGCACAGCATAATCTCAGCATGCTTGTGGATGCCCTCAATCCAAGCATTAGAGGGGAAGAGAAAGGAGGACCGGAAGCCCAGGTCACCCTCAGCGACACAGTGGGCAGCCTGGGTGTACAAGACCCTGCCTGAAAGCAAGCCCCACGGATGTCTGGGCCATGGAGACAGTGGAATAATGCGTACCTGACATGACCACCCGTGTGCCTTTCCACACTGTTGTTACCCATTTATAGACGATTGTGAGAGGCAGCTGACTGCATGTCTGTAACGCATCACACTCTCCATCTCATCAAATATACAGGTGCAGCCGTCTACATTGATGGCAACGGCTGTCACGACACTGAATAGTTCTAGAAACTGAACTCCCAGCATCAGGTTTCTGCTGTGACGGTGATGCCACACACATGCTTGTACACACGCGGGCAGCCTGGGGTGCATGCGTTTGGAGGGTTCCCAACGCTGCTCACTCTGTCTGTGATTCACCGGTAGGACAGACACACAATAGAAGACCAAGAGAGATCAAGTGCTCCTCAGTCTCATTCAGACACAGCCCTAGGCGCAGCTCTAACCTCCCTGTTTAGTTTTCTTGCTACATCATGACAGTTAGAGAAAAGGGGTGAAAACCGAAGTTATAAAGTAACGTGTTTCTACAAGGATTTGCTATTTTCTTTTCAAAGTGATGTTAACAGTTCTGCTGAAAGCAGGCTCTTGCATACCACGTCACCCGCTTTGCTTTTTTTTTTTTTTTTTTTGTGAGACAGGGTTTCTCTGTGTAAAAGCTCTGGCTGTGGCTGTCCTGGAACTCAGGAGCACTGGGCAGCCTATGGGGCCTCTGGTAGCGGAAGCAGGATGTATCCCTAGTGCAGGAATGGAATTCGGGAGCCCATTCCCCATAGAGGGATTCTCTCTTAGACTTGACAGATTTCCATGATCCCCCATAGAAGACCTCACCCTCCCTGGGGAGTGGATGGGGGATTGGGAGGGGCTTTGGGGGGTATGGGAGGGAACTAGGATTGATATGTAAAATAAGATTGTTTCTTATTTAAATAATATACATATAAAATATACTATTTGGTTTCCAAATTAAAAATAAAGCAAAAGTGATTACCTCACCAAAAAAGAAAAGAAAAGAAAAGAAAACATAAAAGAATGAAGAAAGAAAGAAAGGAAGAAAGAAAGGAAACAGGCTCTTTGCAGTTCTTGTTTTTGAAGCAATCAGTAAGTGATTGGGAAATCAAGTGCCTGACTGGGCCCTTCCGGGGGGAAGTTATCAGAAAGGTTAGGGGCTGGTGGACCTAGTCCACCTCCTCAGTTGTCAGGAATGGAAGTCAGGGGAGCAGCTGGCTTGTCCCGTCTCCTTGGTGGTGGTGTCAGTGAGCACTTGCTGTGTGGTGGTGGTGGGTGGTCCACTGACTGGCTCGCTTCCTTCTCCCCACCACCCTCGGGGACGCTGTGCTAAGGGCAGTTCTCAGACCGCAGTCTGATGCTGTCCAGCCCTTACCACAAAGGCCAACTGGCTATCAAGATAAAAACAGTCATTGGAAGGGGAGAATGGGGGAGTATTTCTCTGAAGAATCCTGGGAGTTCCAGCCTCACATGGGAGAGGGCTTGAGGGAGTGACATGAATGAAAAAGTTGGCAGCCTGTACTGAACCCCACGAGCAGCGGTATCACAGGAATTGCATGTACTCCGAGTACCTGTGCCTTCTCAGTGCAATGGGAAAAGCATGGAGGACATGCCACAGTGGACCACACACCAAGGGGTCTGGAGTTCCCCTTCCTCCCAATGCTCCTCACAGGCTACCAACTTCTAATCTGAGTGCTAGGTCATGCTGGGGCACCCCTCTACAGTGTCCAGGGAAGGTCGTGCTGGGGCACCCTTCTCCAGTGCCCAGGGGAAGGTCATGCTGGGGTACACCCTCTCCAGTGCCCAGGGGAAGGTGGTGCTGGGGTACCCCTCTCCAGTGCCCAGGGGAAGGTCATACTGGGGCACCCCTCTCTGGTGCCCAGGGGAAGGTGGTGCTGGGGTACCTCTCTCCAGAGCTCAGGGGAAGGTCATGCTGGGGTACCCCTCTCCAGGGCCCAGGGGAAGGGCCTCCTCAGCGCACGCACTGTGAGATTCTCGGGGAACCCTTCCTCTTAGTTCTGCTGATCCCAGAGATCAGCCTGAGTAGCGGATTCCATCCTTTCACCAAGTGCCGAGTGGATAACCACGAGTCCAGAGAGAGGAGACCACGATCCACACCACTCTTGGGAGATTTGGCACCACCAGCTGCCAACAAGGCAGCGTGTAGGAATTTCACAACCCTGTAGGCCTCTAAATAACGACCCTTCTTATCCTTGTGGTAAAGGATAGGTTAGAAGGAACTAGAAACCCAAGTTAACAGAGACAAGAATTTTTTAGTTTTCCAACAAGAAAATAAAGCAAATGTGTTTTTCTCTGCTGGCCAGACTCCCAAAAATTGAGCTCAAGGGCAAGGAGATAGTTCAGGGGGTAAAGACACTTGCTGTGCAAGCCCAATGACCTGAGGTTGATCCCGAGTTAGAAGTTGGTAGCCTGTGAGGACGAAGGTTGAGCTCAGGTGAGGGAGCTGGATTGGACCGACTGAAGGAGAGAGGAGGGCATCCTTCTGGTCACGGCGAGCTGGCGTTTGAAGAGGCAGAAGCGTGACCACCCTCCTGGAGGGGAGACCTTCGGAGAGCCTTTCCTTCCCTGTGGATGGATCCCTTGCAGTCATCCAAAGTTCTTGAATGATCGATTACCCATTTGCTCCATGGTACCGACTGAGCACAAAACGCTATCGATGTAGCCGGGCTGTGGTGGCGCACACCTCTAGTCCCAGCACTCAGGAGGCAGAGGCAGGCAGATCTTTGTGAGTTCGAGGCCAGCCTTGTCTACAGAGCAACCTCCAGGACAGGCTCCAAAGCTATAGAGAAACCATGTATCAAAAATAGGAACAAACAAACAAACAAACAAAAACTGTAACAACTCATTTCCACCAAGTTTTGAACTGTGTTGGTGGCACTCTGGGAGAAGGAGTTGAGATTGAGTCCCCCTAATAACAGTGACTTATAATTCAGTTTTTTTAAAGCCTAAAAAAAAGGCTTCTAGTGTCTCCCCAGCACAGGTGGCATTAAAACAGTCTCCCCTCAGTAAGGAGAGCCTCGGGAAGACATTGACACAGACTTGGAGTAAACAGCCGCCTTTTGGAGTTGGCTTCAGACGTTGAGTGTTTGTTGGGTGATTTCATCTTTCCATTGACTGACAAGTTATAAAGAGAAGGGTGGATCGTGTTTGGCCTGTTCTTCAGGTCTGAAGAGTCATGAAGACACTTTATTTGTAGGCATCAAGAGCTGGGCCTCTGATCTGAGTAAGCTTCCTAAGCTCCAGTGTTAGGGGATTCAGGTGGTGGGTGGGGAGGGGCCCACACCAGTTTCCTGTAGGGAAGGGGTAGTGACTCATCAAGGGTTTGGGGCTGGGGAACATGAATGAGCAGGGGTGTGGGAGAGAGCGAGGATGTCTGGGCACGGAGAGTAGACAATGAGGGGCTGAGCTGAACTGACTGCTCAGAACTTGCAGGGACTCTCTGGAAGCACCGTTTCCACTCGACATTTTCCACCGGGGTGAAAGACTGTTTGTCCTCGGGAATCTCTCCCTGACCCTCTCCTCCTTTACAGCGGCACCCAGGCCTCTTCTTGTGCGGAGACGGTGGTAAGAGCAGGGAGGCTGCCCAAGGACTCTGTCAGGCCAAGGGGGAGAGAGCTAAGACATGCCCTGCACCTGTCCTGTCAAGCTAGCCGTGAGCACCTCCCAGAAGCTCCGAGGAAGCTGGAGAAGACAGACGCAGGCAGCTGTCTCTGGGTCGTGGGACGAAAAAGACGTGAGGTCCAGTGTCTCCAGGGAGGGGACTGGAGCCTTGGAAAGCCGAGTCTCAGGTGAGGGTGGTCTTGCTGGAGCCCCATGGGTGGGAAAGAAAGCAGAAGCATGTCTGTAAACATCTTCAGGGAATTGCGACGGCATAGTGAGGTTCAGTTGGTGTCCAATTCTGTATTAACGACTTCTTTTACAAGTATGTGGTTCTAAAATGATAGTGATGCTCATTAATCATGCATACTAATTGATTTCAGTGACATTTGCATACATACATATATTGTGTTCCAATTACCCCTCCCCCATCTTCTGCCTCTCTCCGCCCTCTCCTTGGTTCTCTTATTTTATGATAGCCTTGGTACTTCAGGTAGCCATTCAAAAATTTCAGTTGCCACTGAAAGGATGTGCAGTATTTGTCGTTCTGCCTCTGGCTGATTTTGCTTAGCAATGATTTCTAGTTTCATCCATTTTCCTGTCAATGACATGACTGTGTTATTCATGGCTGTGTAATATTCCATTGATGTATATATGCCATGTTTTCTTAACTCATTGACCTGGTGGGTCTCTACACTGGTTCCATATAGTGCCATGAAAAATATAGGTACATGTTCTATTTTATGAAAATAGTGCAAATATTGATATTTTGGAAAAAAATATTAGCGGAAGATTTGAGTCTCCAATAAATGTAAGTGTTGGGGGCTGACGAGACCTTGTCGTAGGACGGCTTACAGGCTGGCTAAGGTATAAGCGGAAGACTCTGAAGCCAGAAGGCAGAGCCTGTATTTCTGCTGCACTCCCTCCAATGGGGGGCAGTGAGTCCTGACTGTCTTTCTTCTCCTCTGTGAAACAGGAGTCTGAAAATCTCCCCCACAGAGTGGTTGATGAGCTTCCGCAGAAACTAAGCCCTCACAAAAACTGCCTCACAAAATTGCTGTGTAGAGAGCGTGGCCAGGCCTGTGGAGAGGACTCCATCAGCCGAGCACTTGCTGTGCGAGCATGAGGAACTGAGTTCAGAGCTCAGAACCCGTGTAACGTAGCAGGCAGGACACAGTGAGCACACTGGTACTCTCAACTCTGGGGAGGCAGAAACCAGCCAGTTCTGTCGCCGGCCAACCAGCCTCCAATACTTGGTAAGTTCAGGCCAGCGAGAGGCCTTGTCTAAAACAATAAGAAAAACTAACAAGGTAGAATGCGCTGAGCAAAGACCCCAAGGTGGACTGCTGATTGTTTGCACACACGCACGTGCACGCACACACTCGCCTGTGTACACACGGAGCAGTGGCTAGATTTTAGTGCTGGCCAGCAAGCTGGTATGATTCCTTTTTTTCCTACTGAGGATAGACCTACCGTGGTTCTTTAGTGTGACTCCTAAAACATGCCTAATCAAGTTTATACTCATCTGAAACGCAAACATGGCCAGCCAGGGCTGTTGGGCACTGCTGTCACAGGTACAGTGTGTCTGTTCACTTGTGACGAGGGGGAGCAGCTCTGCTTACTGAGAGTCGGCCTGAGGCTCGGGCCTCCCCCCTTGCTGACTGCAACCCTGGAGAGTGGTGAACGGCCAGCTTGTGCCTCCTGAGGCTGAGTGGCGATGGACAGCCCCGCCCTGGCTCAGGCATGTACACTGAAATACTGCCTGGAAAGGCACTGCCCGCCACGGTTGTCTGCCAGTGAACCTTGGTGTCCTGGTCCGTCAGGGAGACTTAATGACAGCTATGCAAGTGATCTTGGGTTTATTTTGGGGCTGTTCCAAAGCAAGTCGGAAAAAGTAATTCCGTGTGTGTAAAGAAGACACACGTGCTTAGAAATTCACTGCCCACTGAGCCCCTTTTTGTTATTTTTCTAGTTTCTTGATTCCTGTAAGTTCCTAACCCTGGGATAAGTCAATTTTACTGCTTCCAACAAAGGAATGTCTCTGTGCTTTGACTGAAGAGAAATGAGAGAGGGAGAAGGAGAGAGGGAGCCCAGATCCTTCTTTCTGGCAAATCCAAAATTCTGAGGACGAAGTAGCTGCCTGGGTCAAAGGTTAAATAAACATCACACAGATGTGCAGGGTCAGAGACAACTTGGGAATTCGCTGGGGTCAACTGTGTCTTGGGGTCACACGGAATGAAGCACAGGGCTCCGTGCAGACGCTGGGTTTGGATCTCTGGCCTCGTCAGGGCTGGATGGGAACGGCATGGGATGAAAGGGTTTCCCACACGGCCTTTTACCTCTTCAGCCCCCATTGCCGTCTGGCTATAATGCAACATCTGTCTTTCATGCTTCATCCTTCATCTGAGGGAGTTTTGTGAGCACCTCTGGCCTGCCGGGTTTCTAGCTTAGGGTATACCACGCAAATGCAGCATCAAAGGACCCCAGTTCAAATCCCCAGTGCCGTCACTCTGGAATCTTGGGCCAGCAGCTCCGTGTGGGTTCCCTTTGGCCCCGTGACAGACGCCTTGTCTAGAAGCAGAGTGGGCTGGGGAGTGGGTGGCTGTCGTCTCTGTCAGGCTGTCATAGGAAGACGCCGTGGACCATGTGGCTTGGATAACAGACACGTGCTTGCTTGAAGTCCAGGGACTTTAAGTCTGAGGTCGTGTCTTCTGCCTACTTAGCCGTCTCCGTATGTCCCTGTGGTGGCCTGAACGAGGAACATGTTCCGTAGCTCAAGGCTTGGGCGTCAGTGGGTGGTGCTGTTTGGGGAGGCCTGGAAGCTTTGGAAGGCGGAGTCCTGCTGGAGGCAAAGTCGCAGGGGAGGGCTCTGAGAGTAAACATATAGTTCACTCTACTTTCAGTCAGCTCTGTGCGTTCCTGTTTACAGTTGAGGATGTGATCTTTCGGATTCCTGCCACGCCTCCCCTGCTAGTGTGGACTCTCTGGAAACGGCAGCTCAAATAAGCCCCCCTTCTATAACCAGCCTTGCTCATGGTGCCTTGGTCACAACAGAAAAGTGACTGATACTGTTGCCACGTGTCAGCGTCTTCTCTGTGACCTTATGAGTCTTCTGCTCACAGGCACGCGTCCCAATCTCTTCTTTTTCGCAGGGACACTGGTCATTGATGTCAGCATGCGGGATTGAATTTCCACGTAGAATGACAAGAGCTTAAAAGGAATTTTAGAAACAAAAGAACGGAGAGAAGCATGGCTTCTTGGTAGCAGCATTTTTCTCAGGTGGGCTCTGTTTTGCCAGAGACAAGCAGAGACTCAAGTGGCTCACTTAAGGGAGTCTTCCTGACTCAGCATAAGCAAAAAACAAAAACAAAAATCAAGGTTCTTTTAAGAGGCTCTGCTAACAGTTGAAAGGTTGTACGTACAGCTGGAAGTGGCAGTGACCACATCTCCAAGCCGGCAGCTTTTGCTTGATGTCAGCATAGACAGAGGCGATGAGCTGGAGACAAACTTAGCCGGCCATCTTGGAAAAACTGCAGTTTAAACAGTCATGGTTTTTAGCAGATAAGACACTTGTCCAGAAAAACATAAAGATTTAGAGTAAAGTCAGATTGAGATGATGAAAAACCTCTAAAGGTTTACAGTGTGTTTAAAAATATACATAGGATTGAGAGAGAAAAGGAAACGGCATAGTGGTAAGTAAATAGAGAAGTCAGCTGTGGTGGCACACGCCAATAGGATTTGCTCCAGAGGCAGAGGCAGGCAGATTTCCAGAGATACCCTGTCTCAGAGAAGTAAATAAATAAAAATAAATAAAAGTAAAAGAAATAGAGTAATGTAAGCCAAGTAAAGATGGAAAATACACAGAAAGTCTGGAAACCATCTACTATTGTGTTTTTCAGTTCTTCAGTGGCTAAGGAAGGAACAACTGCTGAAATATACTTGATTATAAATGCTGCTGAATTAATCCAACTTATATATTTCAAAAATGCTTTGACCTCAGACTTTAAATATAAGGACCGGTTACTCAGGAAAAGAGTTTTTGTTTATGTTTCTACAGAAAATGGAAAGCTGTGGATTCCTTCCGGGTTTCTGTGGTTTGATGAACCAAGACCCCCGGAAGCAGTGGGCCAAGAGTTCCAACAATTAAGACAGCTGAGATGATGTAGTCTTACAGACCAGGAAAATAAGGACTTCTACATGTTTCTGTGTTTTGTCATGATCCCCATGGTATGAACAGCACCCCCATCCAGCAGGAAGCAGTTTGGAATGAGCAACGTCCAAATTCCCATATTGTTTATAAATTTTTGCTTTCATTTGAATGGGGTTGCTTATAATTGGTTAATGATCATAACCGATCTCTTTTTGAAAGTAAAAGGGGAATTATGGTATGGAAATGAATACTTGGTATGGGTATGGTTTTTCATTTACTGATACAAATTCAAGGTAAATTTTGTGATATGTATAGTTCTCTTTTTGATTAAGTATTGTGCTTATACTGATCTTTTAAAATGTAACATATAATAAAATACAGATTATAGATAGTATTGTTTCCATCTTAGTGGCAGGCACATGGCATGCTTGTCTCAGTGTTGGCCTTTTTCGCTCTGCAGAGCAGTAACTTCTCCATGAAGAGCTCATTCCCTGAAAGGAGGATGGCTCACAGAGCCATGGGGTGGGGGAGCCAAGCCCTAGGGAGTGTGAGGGCTCAGGGTTGGGGGTTCTGGTCTGGATCACACCACTGCTTACCTAGTGGCCTGGAGACGTTATCTTCTGAGGTAGTTTCTCATGTCAAATGAGGTGAGCAGGTTCAAGAGGGTAGGCTCAGTGGCAAGTTGACCCCCAGCCTCGTCCCGGTGAAAGGCAGAGTGCCAGGGTGAGGGTAAAGAATGGGCACCAGCTGGGGTTACTGAGAAAGGTCTTGTGTTTGCTGGGACCGCAGTGTTTCCCATCGGTGCTGGGCTGCAGCCAGACATCTGAGCCCAAACAGCACATGTTTGATTGGGGAGTCTCAGAGAAAGGCACATTCTGCTCTTTCCTGTCAGCCCCCAGCTCATCTGCCCGGGTGCCAGCCCTGGCTGACGCGGCTCGGGGGTCAGCACAGACCTGGCTGCTGCCTTCGGAATCCTGAAGACCTGTCACTAAGACAAAGAGCCTGTGGGAACTCTGGTGATGGCCTTAGAACAAGAGCCAGACACAGATACTCTCAACTCTGAGATCCGGAACAAACATTTCTCAGGCACACAGCCTTCCCTTCGCCATTCCATATGGGAGCATCCATTTTTAAATTTTATATGTGTAAGTGTTTTGCCTGTGTGTATGGCTGTGCACTGTGTTTGTGCCTGGTGTCCTTGGAGATCGTAAGAGGGCGTAGTTGAGGATGGTTGTGAGTCGCCATGTGGTGCTTTATTGAACCCAGGTCCTCTGCAGGAGTGCTGAGCCGTCTCTAGCCCCTGTGCATGGATTTTTAAAAAACTATTTATTATGTATACAGTGTTCTGAAATATATGCCTACATGCCAAAAGAGGGCACCAAACTTCATTATAGATGGTTGTGAGCCATCATGTGGTTGCTGGGAATTGAACTCAGCACCTCCAGAAGAGCTACCAGTGCTCTTAACCTCTGAGCCATCTCTCCAGCACTCCCCCTTCCTGTGTATGAATTATTTTTTATTTTTAAATTTAAATTAGGAACAAGGTCCCTCTCCCTTTCCCTCTCCTCCTCCCACCAACCCCTCCAATATCCCCTCATTTCCCCAGGGAGGGTGAGGCCCTCCTTGGGGGTGTCCATAGTCTGTCATTTCATCCAGGGCAGGGCCTAGACCCTCCCCCAAGAGTCCAGGGTGAGAGTGCATCTCGCATTGTTGGATGGGTGCCCAAAGTCCATTTATATACCCGGGATAAATACTGATCTACTACCCAAGGCTCAATAGATTACCTAGGCCTCCTCACTGACACCCACATTCAGGGGGTCTTGATTAGCCCCATGCTGGATTCCCAGGCATCAGTCTGGGATTCAAGAGTTAACCTTTGTCTGGTCAGCTGTTTCTGGGGGTGAAACCAGCCCAGTCTTAATCCCTTTGATCATCAGTCCTCCCTCTCTGTCACTGGATTTCTTGAGTTCAGCTCAGTGCTTAGCCATGGGAGTCTGCCTCTGCTTCCATCAGCCACTGAATGAGGGTTCTGTTTCCCAGACTCTCTGGCCATGAGATTGTAGGTTGGCACTCCCCAGATCTATGTCTAAAA